ATAATGCATGTCGACCACATCCAGGAACCTCTTTTTTAATAGGCTGATGACTGATCCAGGCGAAGTCCGACTTGTCAGATCAGTCTGATTCAGAACAACCTGTATATGGTGGCTAGATTGAATAAATAAAATTCATCTTATATGACTTTGTCACCAGTCACAGTCCTTGTTCACTTGCTTGGTCATGCTTTAATTTCCGGTTAAAATAGTGAGCAAAAACTTACATCATAATGTTTATATCTGCGCGCGTGTGTGTAGGGGGAAGATACTGAGTGGGTTGTCGTGGACTTTGAAAGCCCCGGACCTGCAGAAGATGACTGGATTGCGGTTTTTTCTCCTGCAAACTTCAAGTAACCTCCATCCTCCTACACCCTTCTTATTCTGTATATCTACATTATCTCTAGCCGTATGCATCGTGGAAGTCTCCAGAAATCTAATTTATTCAATGAAATATCAGTTTAGCTTGATGAGAAAGTTGGGAAACTAGTGGACATAGATGTGTAAGTATTGCGAGTTGTCACTGGTCGCTTCCCTCCACTATTCATTGCTTGGCCAATAAGATTCTTCTCTGATGTTTCAGCTCCTCTACCTGTCGTCCTAATGATCCAAGGCAGAGAGCACCTTTTATATGCTCAGCTCCCATTAAGGTAAAGATTGATCCACCCATGCAAGTTCTGATTTTTTCATAACTGAAATATTGTCAACCAATTCTGACCTTGGTTATGCTTATTCGCGCTGCATTTGACGCCCATTTCAGTATAAGTTTGCCAATGAGTCCAGCTCTGACTATACAAAGACGGGGAATGCTTCTTTGGAGTTTCAACTGATAAATCAGAGATCAGACTTCTCATTTGCACTCTTCTCGGGCGGGCTGTCAAATGTACTTTCTACCTGCTTCTCAGTTTCTTTGATATTTGATCTCGTCTAGATTGTAATGGCATCGCATCGGGCCAAAACAAGGATTTAATATATTTTTAGTAGCACTTAGTATTTGAAGTCTCAATTGTTATTTTGCACTTGTTATGCGGAAACTTTGGCTTTGATCAATTGTTCATAATTCTTGCAGCCGAAACTTGTGGCAGTTTCCAATATCATTAATTTTGCATATCCAAAGGCACCCCTTTATCCACGTCTTTCTCAAGGGAAGTCTTGGGATGAAGTAAGTTCTCTCAGTGCATTCTTTTCTGTTTCTCTTCCGGTTTCTCTACAATCATTCAGTGCAAGCTAAAATCTTTCCGTATGCTTGTCCAAATTAAAGTGCACCAATCTGAAGGTTTTAGAATGATTCATCATTTCATATCAGCTGTCCCAGTTATTAAGCCTAGTCATTCCTCTCAGTTATAATGGTTGTGATAATTTTGTTGACGATATGTTCTCTGGTCTGAGATGCTTATCTAGACGGTAATATAGTGCAATAGTACAGAAGTAATTGTATATTCTATATGCTGAAAATATGATAATGGTGATATAAATTGCTTCTATGTATAACACAGATGACAGTTACCTGGACTAGTGGCTATAACATTGATGAAGCGACTCCTTTTGTTGAGTGGGGTGTTGAGGAAGAAACCCAGACTAGATCGCCAGCTGGAACATTGACATTTCGACAAAATAGCATGTGTGGTATGATCTTTTTGTACGCTAAGGAGTATACTCTTTGACAGCTAGCTGTGGTACAGGGTTACTACTTTCGAATCCTTTGTCATCACTGTCACCATGACATTCAATGATCATTTTGCTGTGAAGCGCTTAAACAGTTGTCGCCAAATATATGCCCTTGCTGTGAGTCTACAATCTTTAGGTCTAGACCTGCGGGTTCCACGGCTGAATATAAATCCGAAACTATAGGACCATCATCTCCGATCTTAAACTAACACATCACGGTTCTCAGGAAATCTTGTTGTTTGCAGGTCCACCTGCACGAACGGTAGGGTGGCGAGATCCAGGTTTCATACATACAAGTTTCCTAAAGGATCTGTGGCCTAATGCAGAGTAATGCTCTGGACTAATACACACATGACACATGTCATGAGTTTTGCGACATAAGCAGGTTTACCATAGACGTTTTTCTTGATTTGATGTTCCAGGTACACATATAGGCTTGGCCACAGATTAGCTAACAATTCGTATGTTTGGAGCAAGGTATACTCTTTCAAATCATCTCCATATCCGGGACAAGACTCATTGCAGCGGGCCGTAATATTTGGTGACATGGGAAAGGTAAAAGCAGCATACCTCAGGAAGGACAATGTCACGCTTTTCTCGATTATTAAATAGCTTCAAGATTCACTTCATGCTGATGTTTGACTTCTTTTTTGGGAAACAGTATTGGATGAAGTTTTCGATTTGGTTGTCATATATGATGAAGTGTCTCTCTTTCTTCATATAGTGTAAAATCTCATAGTTTGATTGAATAAGATTTGACAAGAAAATCACATGCCATATAGCCCAGCATAAGCAAGTTTCACAGATGCATTATGCTTTTCACAAACTTTAAAGTTTTGCTTTCTGTTCATGTGCAAGCGCCAGCACTTTATACAATCAGCCCAATCTGGTTCAATTTGTGTGCTTTCACATTATCTACTTATCTGAACATGGCTGAATGTTTTCCCTTTTCTATTTTGGAACTTCACGTGGATGGATTTCAGGCAGAGCGTGACGGGTCAAATGAGTACAATAACTATCAGCCAGGCTCGTTAAACACGACAGATCAGCTCATCAAGGATTTAGACAACATAGATATAGTGTTTCACATAGGAGATATAACATATGCAAATGGATATATTTCACAGTGGGATCAGTTCACATCTATGATCGAGCCCATTGCATCGACTGTCCCTTACATGATTGCAAGGTATACATTAGATGTGTGGATTAGCAAACGACTTCCTAACCTATATATAATACTGGAGTTTGGATGCAGTGGGAATCATGAGCGTGACACTCCAGGCACGGGATCATTTTACGACACCAATGATTCAGGTGGTGAATGCGGTGTCCTAGCAGAGACCATGTTCTATGTCCCCGCGGAAAATAGAGCGAAATTTTGGTAAGTGGTTGTTGCTATTGTAATTTAGGAGGAAACACGTGCGTTGTAGTCATTAAGAGGACAGTCAACTAAGTAAAAGAGCCAAGAGGTATCTAGGAATCAATGAAATTTGTAGGAATACCTGTAGAATTCCGATTCTCAGAACAAATCCACATGAAAGAACCAGCGAAATGCCTCTTCAAATCTATTCCTGCAATGGTTGAAAGGGACAAATCTGAATGATAACTTAGAGAAAAGTTTCACTCTCATTGAAGGTAAGGTCATTACTGATCTTGGATTAATTGACGAGTAATTGCCCATGCACTATGTGTGTTCGCATGACATGTTTCGTCTCGATCTTCTCCAAACTCTGACTCTTCATAATCAATTTCTAGCATTTGCAGTTTGCATCATTTCATGGAGCTGAAGTACAAGTAATGGCATAACACAAAACTTACCCCCCTCCCCGCATATGTGCAGGTATTCAACGGATTATGGCATGTTCCACTTCTGCATAGCCGACAGTGAACACGACTGGAGGGAGGGTTCTGAACAATATAGGTTCATTGAGAACTGTTTCGCGACAGCAGACAGACAAAAGCAACCTTGGCTGATATTTGCTGCTCATCGTGTTCTTGGCTATTCTTCGTCGGCTTACTACAGTTTGATGGGCTCTTTCGAGGAACCTATGGGAAGGGATAGCTTGCAGAAGCTGTGGCAGAAGTACAAAGTCGACATGGCATTCTATGGTCATGTCCATAACTATGAAAGAACATGCCCGATTTACCAGGTAAAACGAAGACATTGAGATTTTGGAGGCTAATTAATTGTACTTTGAGCATAAGGCAGGCATTGTTTTCACTCGTAACAAGCCAAAACATTTGTAACCAAGGCTAACTTGATTATTCAAAACTATTAGTGACAATGCTACTCTCATCCTTCTCATGTCCTTGCATGCGACGGTTGATACTTACAAGCATAATGACTCTTAATTTTTGGTTGGATGATGCAGAATCAATGTGTGAACACAGAAAAGTCTCATTACTCCGGCACCGTGAATGGGACGATCCACGTCGTGGTCGGCTGTGGAGGGAGCGAACGATCATACTTCAGCGAATCGCAGACAATTTGGAGCGTGTACAGAGACTACGACTACGGATTTGTCAAGCTCACCGCGTTCAACCACTCATCCCTTCTGTTCGAGTACAAGAAGAGCAGAGACGGGAAGGTCTACGATTCATTCACCATCTCTAGGGAATACAGGGACGTCCTGGCGTGTGTGCATGATGGTTGTGAACCGACCACTTTGGCCACGTAGTAATCCAATCCGAGTAAACTTGTAGCTGCCTTCAGGAACAGCAGATTTTAAGATTCAGACGGTATACGGATGAGGGACATCTCGAGGTTTTTTTTTATGAGTTACATTAAAAGGAGAACGTGTCATGGATCATGGCACGAGAAGTCATGGATATGAATTTCCTGAACAAGATTGGAGGGACCCAGAAGGAAAATCACTCGTCTTTGCCGTGTGCGCGATACAGACAGCACATGGTTTTGGTGGTGTGGCGGCCGGTCAAGAGAATCTGCAATAAAAACAAAACGGGTTTCTTTCTCTTGATCTACCCACCATTCAAGTTACTAATTTTATTGATAAAATCATTAGTTCGTTAGCAGTATTTTTCTCATCATGGGAACTGCAGGACGTACAGGGAACAAGATTTGCAATTTTCACGAAATGCCATAGGATTGCTGCATAATTACGGTATTGTCAAGAACAAAAAAAGATTAGTCTCGTGATTTTGGGATAATGACGCATATCTACACTGAACATAATATTAGACTAAAGTTTAAGAATTAAATTAAACAAAGTGGAAGTTCATATACCAGATTTCTCGTTCTGGTCCCGCACCACACCCTTATCGCGACAGGTGCAGCCGCAAAATATCCGGTCTCTGTTTTCGCCTAGTACAATCCAAAATGATCAAGTTTTAAAAGTCCTTCACTTTCGCTTCTTTATCGCGAGAGCCGAGAGATCGGTGGTTCCTCGGAACGGAAGCCCGACCGATTCCTTCCCTCTGCGTCTCTCGTTTCTCGCGTGCACGGAGAGAAATCCGAGAAAGAAACGAACAATCTTTCAAAGTCAAAACACAGAATCATTCCGGGTATCAAACTCGCATCTCGGAGCGTCCCAGGTTGTCGTTAAATACCCCAAGTCTCTCCACGTCTCCGCTTCGCCATCGCCAGTTGGATTGAGTTGAAACCTGCCCGCCATCAGGGAACATGGGACAACGCTTCCTCTGCGCCAAAGTTTCGATTTTTCTCGCTTTACTGTGTTTCGCAAGCTTGAGCTTCACCTGGGGACATATCGATGGTATCGGAGAACAGCCGCTCGCCAAGATTGCGATCCATAAAGCCACACGAGCCCTCCACGAGTCGGCTTCTGTCACGGCGTATCCCGTCGTTCTTGGCGTAAAGGTAAAATTTTTACTCTGTACTTAATGTTTGGAACCACTTTATGCTGTGATTTTGCACCAGATTTTTATACGCTCGACTTGTCTAGTCTTCAAAATCGGTCATTTCTACTTTCTAGCGCTTGGGTTGTTGTGTGACGACTCATAGACGCAGGTGATTATTTATGTTCCTTTTGAAAACAGAGTTAAGTAACATCTTTAATCAATTTTAATATTCAGATGTAAAGTTCAGTGTGTATGACCATCTGGTATAAAGTCGAATGTTTTAGAGCAACTCTTTCTTTGAGTTAACTTCACAAATTTGGGAGTCCTTTTTCTTGTTTGCGGGGGACAATGTAGATTGTTTTTCCTGTGATTCTTCAATGGGGATGTTTATTGAGCGTTTAAGTAACTTTGATGGGTACCGGTAATGTGATTTATGATTATGCAGGGTGAGGATACGGAGTGGGTGACTGTGGATCTCCAATACCCCAATCCGTCCGTGGATGACTGGGTTGGCGTTTTCTCTCCTGCAAAATTCGAGTAATGTAGCTCTTGTTCATATATGCATATGCTTGTGTTGTGTTTTTCCTGCTCGAAATTTCGTCAGTAACTCAATCATCAGGCAGTTCTTCAATTGAAATAAGTCAATTTTTTTCGATGCATCGAGCTGGAATGTCTACATTTCTGGTCTTTAGCGCTAAAGGTGCTTTATTCATTGTGGCAGCGGATCAACATGTCCTCCAGTTAACGACCCAAAAGAGCAGTCTCCGTACATATGCTCGGCACCAATCAAGGTTAGATTCGTGTGGATTTTGACATCATCATGTTAAGCTCTTGCCAAAAATATGTGATTGAGCTTCACTGACCCGTATATATTACTTTGCCAGTACAAATATGCGAACCATTCTAATCCAGGGTATACAAAGACAGGCAAGGCTTCTTTGAAGTTCCAGTTGATCAATCAGCGAGCAGATTTCTCATTTGCACTATTTTCTGGAGGAGTGTCAAATGTGCGCGGTTTTCTTAGCATCTCCTTCTTAGTCTGTCTTAATAAATATTGCATCGTGCCTCTCTTGTTCCATACGGCTACTTCTCTCCATTGTCCTTTTATCAAACTTTCCGGCCTTTTGATTACCCCAACAATTGATTGTTGTTCCCATGCTTGATTGTTTATGCAGCCAAAGCTGGTGGCAGTTTCGAACTCTATAGTATTTGCCAATCCTAAAGCACCTCTTTATCCACGCCTTGCTCAAGGGAAGTCCTGGGATGAGGTGAGTTGCCTTGACTTTCATTTCCCAATTGGCATTTTGGAGGACTTTGTTTGATATTCTCCTTTGATTTTTTTCCAGATGACAGTGACATGGACTAGTGGTTATGATATAAAGGAAGCCATCCCTTTTGTCGAGTGGGCCTTAAAAGGAGAAAATCAAGTGCGATCTCCAGCAGGAACCCTGACTATTGATAGGAACAGCATGTGTGGTATGTTGGCTTTGCATATTTTATGAGATGTGCTTTTCAAGTTGCATGTCTTAATCTATACCTCTACATTCTTGGCCTACTAAACTTACCATAATACAGCAAATCCTTGAATTTGGGATTTTACATCCGCTTATCATTTGATGAACTGTTCAATGTCATTACCATCAGCTGACTGCATAGCTAATTACCTTCTATGGCCATTTTCTCATTATCATGAGCGCCACTCAATAGGCTATGATGATGCTTTAACTCTCACAGCTTCTATTTTCAGGTTCACCTGCACGGACAGTAGGATGGCGCGATGCAGGTTTTATTCACACAAGTTTTTTGAAGGATTTGTGGCCAAACTCTGTGTATGTATCTTACCATTTGTTTCTAGCAAGAGTATTGGGATGAGGTATCAGCATCATCTATTCCGATATGTTCCAATGGGTTTCAGGTATACCTACAAGATGGGTCATCTGTTGTCAAATGGTACCTATATCTGGAGCAAGAGCTATTCATTTAAATCATCTCCATATCCTGGACAAGATTCGTTGCAACGTGTTATAATATTCGGTGACATGGGAAAGGTGCATATACGATCCTTTCGTTTTTCCCGCTGTTGCTTTTATGGGTTGAGTGAGAGCTGGGGATATGATTTACTCTTTGTGGTCATATGATATGCATCGGATTATGTTAGCACAATGCAGTAGAAGTGTATGGCACGTGTCCTGGGAAATATGATAGTATTCAGTGCAGAGCCTGTTCTTTCCTGAACTCTAATTAGTAATGTTGCACGAATTGATCTTTCTATAATAAGTGGTTGACTGCGTTTTTTCCTATATATTTTCAGGCTGAGAGAGATGGTTCGAATGAATACAGTGACTACCAGCCTGGTTCACTTAATACCACAGACCAACTAATCAAAGATTTGAAGAACATAGACATAGTTTTCCACATCGGAGACATTTGTTATGCAAACGGGTACATCTCACAGTGGGATCAATTCACAGCACAGGTGGAGCCTATTGCATCAACCGTCCCATATATGATTGGAAGGTTGTGTGTTATCACTCATTCTGTTTGTCCCTGTTGTTGATACCATCACTCATGTTGAGTAACTCCATTTCCTTGGTTTAATTATCCTCTTGTTTATTTCATCTGCAGTGGTAATCATGAACGTGATTGGCCAGACTCGGGATCCTTCTACGACACTACCGATTCAGGTGGGGAATGCGGCGTGCTTGCTGAGACCATGTTCTATGTTCCTGCTGAGAACAGAGCTAAGTTCTGGTAAATAGCTTAAATCCTTGTTTAAGAAAAGACAAGACATTAACTCTTATGCATGAAGAGTTGGGAGATAACTCAGTCGGTAGCAGATGTGCTAAAGGGGGTCATTCATCTTTTGAAGCTTGTTTCCTCCTCCCTTTGTTCATAACATTGGGATTCAGTCATCACATAGAAGGGAGCTGTGTTTGATGCTTGCTCTTGTTTATCATTGCCTTTCCTTGCTTGAGTGCTTTCAAATCAGAGAAAAACAAGATAGGGCTGTTCCTCGATAAATTTTACACTGTTATCTTTGCATAGAAACTAAGAGAGCCATGAGGTAGCTTGGAATGATCTCTAAAGACAGTGATTGTGGTGGATTTACATGTAATTTACGGATGTGTATTTTAGAAATCCACTATCTTTGAACCTAAAAAAGATATGAGCTAAGTCACATCCTCGCTAGGTATTATCAATATATTGTTGACATATGAATTTTGCAGGTACTCAACAGACTATGGCATGTTTCACTTTTGTATAGCCGATAGTGAGCACGACTGGAGAGAGGGATCCGAACAGTACAGGTTCATTGAGAACTGTCTTGCATCTGTGGACAGGCGAAAGCAGCCCTGGTTGATTTTTGTGGCCCATCGGGTCCTTGGTTATTCCTCCGACAGTTGGTATGGCATGGAGGGCTCTTTTGAGGAACCCATGGGAAGGCAAAGTCTACAGAGGCTGTGGCAGAAATACAGAGTGGACATTGCCTTCTACGGCCATGTACATAACTATGAAAGAACTTGCCCTATCTATCAGGTACGCACAGATGGATTGTTATGTGGTGCTGCAAAACAGTTGCATGCTTTATGCTAGTGCTCATAGCGAGTACAAAGGTCTCTCTTCTTTTTATGCACATTCACAACTTACAACCATGATTTAAAGGCCTTTGCATGGTTAATTATTAAGTACGGTTTCTCTTACTCATGCTACTTCTGCACTGCCCCTGTAGCCATCAGTGCCCCTTGAGCAACATGGTTCCTTTCCTGGAAAATCGAGAACTGAGTTTCTTTCCTTGTAGTAATAGTGTTGAAGCTTCAATGGTGACATATTATGAATTTATGCCCTGAATCATCATTTCCTAGCCATACATCATCATTTTCTAGCTAAGGGCAAAGTTCCAGTCCTATACTGGGGGTCAAGTGTTCTTGAGGTTTATCCAGCATCAGAAAGTAGGTTCCAGTTAGTTTTGGTTTATACCAGTGTGATACCTGCACTCTCATGTAACAGTCTGTCATATCAGCTTTTCAACTCGATCTCTTCAAGTTGACAATTAGAATTTGTCGATTGAGTTTCCAGAGAAATTATCTACATAACAACATATTTGATTCACTATCTCCCCTTTGTGGAACAGAACCAGTGTGTTAATTCAGGAAAGAATCATTTTTCGGGCACCGTCAATGGAACTATCCATATAGTCGCTGGTGGGGGAGGAAGCCATTTGTCGACGTTCAGCCAACTCACACCTAGCTGGAGCCTGTACCGAGATTTTGACTTTGGATTTGTGAAGCTGACAGCCTTCAATCACTCGTCTCTTCTCTTTGAGTACAAGAAAAGCCGCGATGGCCGGGTATACGATTCCTTCACGATATTGAGAGAGTACAGAGATGTATTAGCCTGTGTACATGACAGTTGTGGCGCAACCACCTTGGCTTCCTGATTATAACAACTTGCGGTTTTCTTCAGATGACTCTGCTAGCAATGTTTTATCTTATTCAATTGTCATTAGAGTACATAAATAATCTCTATGTAAAAAAGGTGCCACGTCTACTGGTCAGTTTTAGGAACTGTACTTTTGCTGCTTTCTCAGCCAGGACACTCTCTTCCCTCGTCTTTTTCTTAAGCAAATTCCTTTCTAGCAATTTAACCATTAAATTTGATACTTGACGCGCCATATATACATGTTTGGACTAGGGTAGCTTCAAGGTCACAGCACACACACACTTTTGGATGTGTATTAATCGTCCAAAAGTATATTATTGCAGCGAGAGCATGTCTAGCTGTTGGTTCGTGGCATCAAGAAGATACTGAATTTGCATTCACGAATCAAAACCTTCTAATGGGAGTCCTTGCGACTTTTGGGTCCAGCTGACAATTTCGTAGATGCAATAGTATTTTATTCTCTTCTGGGTATAAGACAAGATGCAATAGACGAGGACAGGCGAATGGTACTAGATAAGAACCTTGATTACTATGCTTTATATATTTGAGGTGACGATTAGCCATGAGTACACAGGGAAGCAGCTCATTTAGCTGAGGCATTTTTGCTATTTCATGCCCTGTTGCATCTCGCTTTTCATTTCTACGCGGACGAATGTTGTCATTTCAAAACTTAGTTTTGTTTCATGATGTTCTATATCCTGGATATCGACTTGCTGCAACTTCCAAAAACCTGAAAAAGGTTGCATCGGTTAGGATCCTATCCTCAAGAATCAGAAATAGGTCGCCTCTCCATTGTAACGTGCACGGCAACTGTATGCCAGGCGTTCAACATTGTAATTCACAAGAATATTCAGCAACAAGAAAGCATGGTGAATGGCATGGCCAAAAAGAAGAACAATTAACTGCACAGAAGGGCACAAAGTATAGCACATGGGACTAAGCCTACATTTACATGCTCGTCTGAGGGCAATTTTACAAATCATGGGCCAGAAAAAGGATGAAACACATGATCTAGACTGTTGGCCATAGCATAAGTTCAGTTCAATAGAAAAGTTCCAGCACTTGGGTAAAAATTATATGCTGCATATTGCGACAGAAAGCAACTAACAGACATGGAAAATTACTTGCTAACCGGCAGAATAAGTTAGTCTTTTTATTTGGTCTAATCTGATCCAAGCATGTATGTTGTTTCATTGAAAGCGGATGGTGCACGATGGCAACAGATGGATTTCCTTTTGGGACCAATTTGTAGTGCCGCAATGACCCCATACATGTAAAAACATAGAAGATTGTCATCGTCTGCTTGAAACCGAAATTGCTCAAATTCATTTACATGCCCGCCGGATTCCACCACAGAGGCATCCTGGCTTTTTGATCCATCTTGTGCCAGAAACTGCTAATTGTCATTCATTTTTACCGTGGAGAACCTCAAACAGCACATGCTGAAATCTACACGGGAACTGATTACCACAGCCTATCAAGGAAAGCCCAATCTAACCCGCCATATAAAGGACACATCTAGAACAACAATTTCTTAGAAATAATTGTTTGTATCATTTTGAAAATTTAGTTAATGGAAGATATTATCAATATCGATAATAATTAATGCCTAAACATTTTCATTAATTCATTGTCGTATGCAATACAAATGATCGTTTATAGAAAATGTTTTCTAAATAGTAGATTTTCTATGAAACAAACGCATCCTTAATTTATCATTTCAATATCAGGATGCTCATTCTCTCGATCATCCCTTGAGCTGATTGCAGATAGCAAGTCATCTATCCTTAGAGGTGAATGCCGGACAGCATATTGAAATACGACCTTCAAAGGAAGAGAGAAGATGATCAGCAACCACTGAGCACAATAATACCTGTGCTTCACAGGGAATTGATAAAAAGCCAAAGCGACATCAACAATGTTTCTTACCAAATAGGAAAACAGCAGAATGCATGAGAGAAGGAAAAAAGAAATGCCAATAAATATTGCACAAGACAAAATCCAGATCCACAACCTTATAAACCAAAATACCCCTTCAAAAGCAGCAGAAAAGCACAATCACGCCACACCTAGAGCTCCAAAACTCCAACTCGTACTCAAGCATCAGCAGATGTGAGAAGTTTATATCACAGAGATAGCACCTTAAAATCTCGTAATATATTGTCAATGTCATTCCTTTTTGCTTTAGCCATAAGCAAACCATTTGTATGCTTGCAGGAAAACTACCAGAGTAATTCTCTATAATTAGCAGAATTCGCTATAACTCAATGGAAGGCATTTATAAAAACAATAACTGTGAATAAATATTACTTAAGTTATATATGCGCGTGCATGTGCGTGTGAATGTGTGTTTATATAAACACATTATCAGTATCTAATATTGTTTACAAGTGCGATAGATTACAAAACACAGAGCCAACTCAATTACCAACCTTAGAGTAACTATCTGCGAAAGCACGTGCTCTATTTGACTTGCCAAGGTACTGAAGATCAGCTCTATCAAGCCTCCCATCTGCAAAACTCAATCCTCCATCACTAATAGCAAACTTCAAGAGATATCCTGAGCATATGCCTGACTGGAAGTGGATGAAAACAGAAGTTCAATTTCAAATTTAATATAAAACCATAGGTATGCATTAAATTCAATAATAGAATAGCTAGATATATGTACATGTATGTATGTGTATGTATGTATGCATCATGCATATCATGTACACGCGTATGTCTGGATGCATGCATGCATGCGTGTAACAAAGACACTAGGAAAGATATATTTGTTGAACTGTAAGCAAAACTGAACCTTTTGTACTAGGTCGTTATCCAAGCATCCAAATACCACAGGAGGATCATCTGATGTAATTAATTTCAAATCATCCTGTAGCTCCAAAACTACCTGATTATGAAGGGAAGAGAAGCAAGAGACTTTCAAGTGATCAGAAAGCTGAAAGCATAAGCTCATTTTCATTCTAAAGAACTGTCATGTTGCTCTCTGTGGTAGCGTGCGCTTGTGACAGCGTGAGAGAGCGGCATTTGTCAAGTACCTGTTGCAATCTTGGGACATTTCCTTGACTGTCTGTATCAATGACGTACTGACTACACTTCTCATCCTTCCAAACTAATGCCAGGGGTGTGTTACCAGTTTGATAGTGTGCTTGTCTACAGACAAGGTTCGGAAAGGAATATAAAATCTAGTGAGAACAACTTTGGCATAAAGTGAACACATACTACATAAGAGACCGCGAACAGGTTACCAAAACCAAGTTGAACCTTATTAAACAACAAGAACAATGATCAGTGACCAGCTATGAGGTGTGGTGACAAAACAAGCATATGCCGCACCCAGAAGCATAACCTTACACTCACCTGCCCCCTTATACAACTAGATTGATAGATTGAAGCAATCAAATTATTACCTATCAAAAACAAGGATGAACTCGGTAAACAGAAACCAAAAGAGATGTTTCCGATTCATGAAAATAAAAATAAAAAATTCTCGATGTGTTCCTACTTAACGAGGAGGGATTGAATGGACACAACCATTCCTTACTTGTAAGGATATGACCAAATGAACAATTTCAACATTTCCTCTATCAAATTTTGTTCGTAATTGTTATTCGAATGCTTCTTTTAATCTCAAAATTGATAGTCTATTTCCTCGGCATTATCTCCAAACTTCAATTCGAGGTCAATCATATCATACTTTGTGCAGATCCCTAATCCAGACTGAAACCGCATGGATGCTCACCGTCAAATATACTATATGCATTTCATAGCATGATCATGCTGTATCACATATGCCATAATCCACATCCTTTGAACCTGCAATCTATAAGATGCGATTCTTTACCGATTAAACTGAATTTAGTTCCTATTACTGCATACAGATATTAAACAGAAAGATGAAACATAACACCCCAAACGAGATACACCAAAAAAATGGATAATGAAAGACCCACATCCGTTGAATATGTAATTATGTATGCCCTTAATTCCAGGATAAAAGAGCTTACTTGTTATAGAACAGAAGCCCATCCTTTATGTAAGTTACAGCTCCTGTATATGCCGCATGTAGGCCATTTTCGTCACAGTTGTATATGGGCACCGGGCTACATCTGTATCGGTGGTTCTGTGAGGGTGGATCACAAGCTCCACTCTCAATGAGCTTGGAGTTCGACCAAAAGAACCTGAACTCTGCGGTGCAGTCATAAAGAGAGTATCCTCGCCAGCAAAGCATGTCAATTACATAGTACGTTTGGTCGAGCTGCAAAAATAGGAATGCCTATATCAAATACAACTACTAGTCAATGACATGCCTTTCATTTGTAGGCAAACTTACCTCATGAAATATGCAATCCAGTATGGAGTATGACTGAGCTGACCCGGAAACATCTCTTGTTCGTGCCCCACCAGGTAGAGCGGATGGGAAACGGTGCAAGACGGAGCCATTGCGTAACCGACTAACCGTGATCCCATTGGAAGAAACAACAAAGCACCGCTTACCAGCAGGTCTTGCAAACACATACCTGTGAAATCAGGAATGTACTTAATCAATTCCGTGGCTGAAACAAAAATGAATGCGCAGAGTGCAAGACCCAGTACACTGATGGAACACGCCATCGCACGAGAAACTGACAAGAGGTGTAATATTGCCAATTGGTTAAGCAATGCAGGGGTTAGCATGAGGAAGTTTGCTGAATATGAATAAGAGCTTAAGAACATCTCCTGAACTTGACAAGTATAAAGGTCACCAAGTGATCACCATCCACAACTATCGTCCAAATGAACGCACATGTACTAATTCAATCCTTAAAATCACCATCCACAACCAACCCTTTGCTGAATACTCTTCAGAACGGCTTCTAATCCTATGTCCCTGGAAATCTATGCTGTAGAATTTTACCGACAGGGGGAGAGAGAGAGAAAGAGAGAGAGAGAGGGAGAGAGAGTGAAAACCAGTCTTGAGGAAGACGATCCGGGACGTCGATCATCCACTCGGGAAGCATCAGCTGCCTCGCGAACCACTTGCGAGCCTCCGCGCCTCGGAGCTTCGACGCCTGACGGACGTCGAATTCCTTCGACGGCGACCTCGATTCCCCTTCTTCTTCTTCTTCGACATGGTGGTACTCCGACTCGGATGCGAGCTCGAGCTCGGGCACGGGCACGGGTTCGGGTTCGGGTCCGGGTTCGGGTCCGGGGGCTTCGAGGGAGAGCACGGTGGAGGCTAAGCAGCGAGCGCGGTGCTGGGCGTCGAGGCGGTTCTGGGCTTGACGGAGGAGGGAGAGTTCCCGCCGCCTCTGCTGATCGGAGATCGTCGGCCGCTTGAACGGACGGCGGTGATCGGGCGGTGCCATTCGCTTAACCTGCGCGCTTGCGAGGAGATTGTGGATTTGAAAATCCTCAGGCGTTGTCCGTAGCAGAGGGAGACTCGGGGGGATCGGTGGAACCCTGAACCAGCCCGGCAAGGGTCGGTTCTCAATTTGTGGAAGTGGCTTATTCTCTTTAGGGAAAATGATACGAGTAGTTTATGAAATTTTGTATTTATTTAATATAATTATTGAACTTTTAATTTATTCAATATGATCCCCAGACTTTTGATGCATATTCAATTTAGTCATTAAATTATATGAAAATGTTGAATATAGTCCTTATATTAATTCAAGATTTGAGACTACATCGAATATTTTTATATAATTCACGGACTACAGTGAATATATACCAAAAATCCACAGACCACATTAAATAAATTAAAATTTCATGGATCATATTCCATATTGAGTTAAAATTTAGGAACTATTTGTGTTATTATCTTTTCTCTTTAAGTGGGACTTTCCCAATATTAAAAAAAATTACTAATTAGGGATTACTTCAAAATAAAAATAAAAATTAAAAATATTGGCCGATCTATCGATCCAATTCCTTATGTGAAATCGAAAATTGGACCAATTATTCTCGGTTCCAATTTTTGAAACCAAGTATCGGACTAGTCTCCTCGAGCATCATCGAGAGTAGATTGGTTCGGTCTCGTTCTTGTTCTCGTTCTTGAATTGAACTCGGAACTGTTTTACATCCTTAGTAGACACTCTTAACATTCAATTTAGATGAATTGATTAAAAAGGAATTTCATTACTTATAAGAGAAAAAAAGAGAAATGATTCGGACAATTGAGTTTTCTAGATGAATCGACTTAGATCGAGGGAGATACATTTTATGAAGTTAAATTTCAACTCGAAAATAGAGTTCAGCGTAGATTTCTTTACGTGGTTTTATATTTAGTTTGATCTTAGAAATACTTTTTATTCTAGTTGAAGATAGGTTCATCTTTAGTTTTCCCAGTAAGTCGACTTGATCGAGAAAATACGTTTCATGTGTTGGAGAGATTTCGACTTGAAGATAGGGTTCGACTTAGATTTCGATCGAGAAAATACGTTTCATGTCTACCTTTGAGCGTTGTTACTCAAATATAGGTTCATCTTACTTTTCTCGGTAATTCGACTCGATCGAGGAAACACGTACATGTCTACCTTAGGTTTCGACTCGAAGATGGGATTTAGCTTAGATTTCAACAGTGGTTTATGTCTAGCTTGATCGCAGAAATACCTTATTACTTTACTCGAAAGTAGGCTTTATCTTAACTTTCTTGGTAAATCACCTTGATCGAGGAAGTACGTTTTATGCCTAGCTTAGATATCAACTCGAAGATGAGGTTTAACTTAGATTTCGAGTAAGACGCCCACTCATCCATAAAAATAGTTGAGCGGCGATGGACTCAACGATAATCTTTCAACAAATGACTTTCATTAAGTTTGCCGTCGATGTATAAGATAGTTTACATATATATGACGCTTTTTCCACTCAATTTATGGCTAAACACTCTTTAACATAGTATTATGACAATATTGCCACTTACGGGTCTTACTTTTTAGCATTCATTTGTCCTTTTTTTATTGATTTCCTCTTTTTTTTCTTGTGGATTCCACGTCTACTTTCCTTAATCTTCTTTCTTCTCTTTGTTCTCTCCTTTTTTGGTTGCACTCTATTCTCTCTCAAGAAGCATAGAAATGGAGAATCGTGAAGATCACGTCCTTGGGCTCACATATATGAGGCAAGGCCACATCAACCCGTCTCAATGAAGTCCTCCTCCTTGACCACCTTCATCTCCGCATCTATCGATCTGACTCACTCAACCTCAATGTAATTGACACTATTTACGAGAAAATTTAGTAAATTGATTAGTGGATATTTTCTACAACTAGATGGGGAGAAGGCGAGGAAATTGATTGTCAAGTTTTAAGAGGTAATGAAATGCCAAGAGGATTTGCTTATGAGCAACGATGCATTTGCGAATTTCATTTATTCCTTGTGCAATGAAGGGTTTTTCGATGAAGTGTATTAGATTGCGGAGAGTATGCCTTAAGGCCGCTGCCCACAGCCTCCCCATCACATTTCCCAGCTCCTACTCTCATTGGCGTGAACTACTCCACCTTCGTCGGACTCATCAAATGCAGAGTGCACAATCTCCTCATGCTCACCAGTATCCGTCACTCTCCGCAAACACCATCCCTTCAATGCTGTAAGATATGTGGCGCAGAGCCTTCACTCAAGCGGCTCAAGAAGGTGCTGTCTTAGGTCACGTGGACCAGTTTAGTTATCTCTGCCTACACAAATGTAGAAGTCTCCATTTCTCTACCTCTCTGTTGGTGTGAGTAGTTACATAAGAGAGAACATAGGGAAGGAAGAAGACAAGAAAAGTGAATGTGGGACTCACAAGAAAAGAAACAGATAATTAAGAAAAGAAAAGGGAAAATATGTGTTTTAGCTAAAAAGAGAGTGGAAAAAGCACGACTCTTTTACATATTTATTGTTGGATAATTTTTTTTTGTCAAAAATTATTGGATGATTGACACTCGCAACATTTTAGATACAAAATCAACTCCTTAGTCCTTACGCTCATATCGCTTATTTTTCGGATGGATACACCTCGCGTGTGCCTGTTTCTTAGTAAAAAATAAAAAAAAATTTCACCCTGCTTCATAGTGTTTCAAATAGGAAACCATTCGTGTCGGCTATCTTTCAAACTTAAAATAGTCCAAGTTCGCCATTGAATTAAATAAGCTAATAGAAACTAAATTGTTTCGGCCGACTAGGTAGTAATTTTCTGATATGTTTAGTAACCTTACCTTAAAATATCACTTGTTACTAACAAACTGAGAATATATCTTACTTCCTTTTATCAATGATATTGATCGTTTTAGGTCCTAAGAAATTCGTAACAATACATGAGGACTTTAACCCGATTCTTTTCTAAATTTATACACACCATTTAAATGGTCGGGTCGGGTCGAAAAATGCCCCGATGCATATTGACTCAATTAACCCATTTTAACCCATATACATGCAATTTAAATGTTATGACTCATATTTGACCCAACCTGTACCTGTATCAAACTCGAACCATATTATGAAAACGCATTAATATCTAATCCAATCTAGGAAAATCCATACCCACCATTTAATCCACTTTAAGCTCTTCATGTATATATATTACTTGGATAAAAATTTCACATCAAATTAAAAAAAAGTAAATTAACAGAATAAAAAAATTAGTAAATTAAGTAAAAAAAAGTAAAAAACTTATAGATCGAAATACTTATAAGAAACTCTTAATAATAAAATATTCCGATCAACTAACCATTGAAATGAAAATAACATTTGCTTATAAGAAATCTTCGAACATGCAACAATGTGTTCTCGAAACATTTAGGCTCATTGGAGTCTGTATTACATCGAAATAGCATTGGCATCTAAGATTCGTGAAATAAAAAACTTTCGAAGTTCCGATAAATTTTAAGGCTCATTTTATATCCAATGCCTTTTCTTAGAGAACATCAATCCTTGGGGATTTATAATTGCATCTTAAGGTAATAGTCATTGCCAATAACTGTCAATCAACCAGACTTCCTCAAGCAAAGTTACCAGTCCAATACCATCATTTGCCATACTGCTTACTGGTATTTCCTGTGTCTTAGCTCAAGCTTCATGTACATATTACATATAGCCAAAAGTAACATCTCGGGGCTATCATTGTTTCAACAAATTTTAGTATTTTAACTCCTGTAGAGGCAAGCGGCACATTAATTTCAACGAATCATACACGGAATTTAGCTTATTCTCTGAAACTCTCTAACGAAATCCATGCGGTACTATCGTACTGAAACTCTTTCGCTTGCCCTTATTGTCTAAAACCCGGTTTTTCCCCATACATCGCCCAACATCTTGAATAGTTTTAGCACGAGTTCTTAGCATCCTTAGCATTGCTTATGAAGGGACTAATCTATGTTAAAGTTCACTCACTGTCAGGGAGATGATGCCGGTGATGAGTGCAGTCTTGATGAAAAGACCCAGATGGCCGCCATGGAAATGCAACATGTTCCAGGAGGAAGGGTTTGAGGCCTTCCCGTAATCTCCCGATCTAAAAACTGACCAGAGCACTGATGTCAGCTTCAGGGCCAAACAGAGGAACCGAACTCCAATGCGACAACCAGAACATCGTCACCAATACAAGTACAAGACAACATTAGCACAATTCACATGAATCAAGACGGACATAATCAGCTAGAGGCAGAGACTAGAAACTTTTTAAATTTTAATGGTACTATCAACCCATATTAATCTCATTTATCATCCATAATGTTGGGTCTATATAAATTGTGAACCTATTTAATACCCATGTTAAATCCTATTAGGACTAAACCTATTTATGACTCATTTACAGAATTTAAGTATATCATATAACAATTCGGCCCATCAAATATGGGTTAAGAAATATATTCATGATCAAATTTGACACGTCTAAATTTGCCGGCCCTAATTTTTCTGAACATAATTGGCTGGAAAAACGCACCGTTTTGGTGGTCTAAGCAGCTCCCTAGGACTGATTGCTTCATTCAACTGCCCCCAACTGCTGAGGCGGATTCTCCGATGCGAATTCGTCTGAAGAAATCCAAACGGTACAACAGCTTCTCTAGGATATGAGCATGAGAACTGAATCCGAAGCTCACGGCTCTCGATCGCCAAGGTGCAGCTTCTCTCGCCCCATCTCAGTGCACCATCATTCTCATTGAATTTCACTGTTTCGAAGACGATGGAAGTCCCCCTTGGGCGGTACCAGAACGTATCGCTCGATCAAATTCAGTGCGCATGTAGCTTCCCCTTCTCGTTCGCAGATCCCAAGGTATCTGGGTTTTCTTTCTCGTTCGGTCGGAGAAAGTGGAGGCACCCATTTTCTCGGGTCAAGTGTTCTTCGGTAGAGCAGGAGTTGCGTCCCCGCCCGAAGCCGAGGCCATCGAAATTCGACGTCGATTGGCCCGAGCAAACGGCTATGGACGAAGAGGCAGGGACCGGAAAACGTAATCCGGGGATTTGTAGTCAGATAGAGAAGCTGGCATTGCACAAGAGATACCGAGAGGCGCTGGAGTTGTTCGAGATTTTGGAGTACGAGGGTCGATTTGAGGTAGGTTGTAGCACGTACGATGCGCTGGTGAGCGCGTGCATCGGGTTGAGATCTGTTAGAGCAGTCAAGAGGGTGTCCAGTTACATGGTCAGTACTGGGTTTGAGCCGGATTCGTATATGAGGAACAGGGTGCTGTTCATGCACGTAAAATGCGGGATGATGATCGATGCGCGTAAGATGTTTGATGAAATGCCTGACAGGAACTTGGTCTCCTGGAACACGATGATTGCGGGACTGGTTGATTCGGGGGACTACGTGGAGGCTTTGCAGCTGTTCTTAGCGATGTGGGAGGAGTTTTCTGAGGGGGAGTCGCGATTGTTTGCTACGATTATTCGTGCATCTGCTGGACTGGGGCTTGTTTCTGTAGGAAGGCAGTTGCATTCCTGTGCTCTGAAGATGGGTCTTGGCGAGGATATTTTTGTTTCTTGCACATTAATCGATATGTACAGTAAATGTGGGAGCATTGAAGATGCTCAATTTGTTTTTGATGAGATGCCGGAGAAGACAACAGTAGGATGGAATTCGATCATTGCAGGTTATGCACTGCATGGTTACAGCGAAGAAGCCTTGTGTATGTACTATGAGATGCGTGATGCTGGTGTCAAAATGGACCATTTTACCTTTTCTATTGTTTTGAGGATCTGTACTAGGTTAGCCTCCGTTGAGCATGCTAAGCAAGCTCATGCGGCCTTAATTCGTCATGGATTCGGGCTGGATATAGTTGCAAGCACGACACTCGTGGACTTCTATAGCAAATGGGGAAGAGTGGAAGATGCTAGGCAGGTCTTTGACAGGATGCCTGAAAAGAATGTGATATCTTGGAATGCTTTGATTGCTGGGTATCGCAATCACGGCCGTGGGGAGGAGGCCGTCGAGGTGTTTAAGCAGATGGTTTGTGAAGGAATGAAGCCTAATCACGTCACTTTTCTCCTTGTTCTGTCTGCTTGTAGTTACTCGGGACTATCAGAGCTAGGTTGGGAGATTTTTGAGTCAATGACTGGGGAATATAAAACAAAACCCCGTCCTATGCATTACGCATGCATGATTGAGTTGCTAGGTCGGGAGGGGAGTCTAGACGAAGCCTTTGCATTGATAAGAAGGGCTCCTTTCAAGCCAACGGTGAACATGTGGGCTGCTTTGCTCACAGCTTGTAGAGTTCACCAAAATTTCGAGCTTGGGAGATTTGCCGCTGAAAAGCTCTACGGGATGGAGCCCGAGAAGCTGAGTAATTACGTTGTGCTTCTGAATATATACAACAGCTGTGGCAAGATGAAAGAAGCAGCCGAAGTTGTGCATACCTTGAAAAGGAAGGGCTTGAGAATGCTTGTGGCGTGCACTTGGATTGAGAGTAATAAGCAGTCGCATGCTTTTCTTTCTGGAGATAAATCCCATGCCCAAACTGAGGAGATTTACCAAAAACTCGATAACTTGATGCTCGAGATCTCAAAGCGTGGTTATATACCTGAGGACAAACACATGCTTCCGGATGTCGACGAACAAGAAGCGCAGTTGCCATTCTATCACAGCGAGAAACTGGCAATAGCATTTGGTCTGATCAATACCCCGGAGTGGATGCCTCTGCAAATGGTCCAGTCTCATCGGATTTGCAACGACTGCCATAATGCGATTAAGCTCATAACCTTGGCCACACGGCGAGAGATCGTTTTCAGGGATGCCAGCAGATTTCACCATTTTAAAGATGGCAGCTGCTCATGTGGGGACTACTGGTGATGGTAAACATTTCAAAGCCGCAGTGGATTTTGCCATTTTCGGGATGAAGCAAACATGGTCATCAACTTCTACCTGAATTTTCAAGTGGATGAGATCGGTCAAGTGATCTCACTTGGTGATGGGATTGCACGTGTTTATGGGTTGAAGGAGATTCAAGCTGGCTGATTGTTTTCTGACTTTCCCAATTTTTTCTTCCTTGATAATAAATATTTACATACAGGTTCATCCGCGAATTGTAAATATACATATGCACAAGACCAGGTAGCTCTGTTCTTGCGACCTTTCGCGACTTATAACTTGATCCGAACATGAAAGGAAGTGCGTATCTCAAGCGATCTCTCTAGTGTGCATCTTTTCAGAGTCTTGAGGAGATGTCTCGTATTTATTTTACTTCAAAGCAAATATTGCTTTGAGGTAATTGTTAACTAACCTTAAGATAATTGTAGTTATCGAGTTAAATGATTCTTTTTAAGTATCGATTAGAGTTGAACTTGATTTTCTATGAAGACTTTTGTGTCGAGTCAACGTTCATATATTGCCGTAAGTTCTAAGAAGAGGCCAAGTAGAGTTGGTTTTCTACTCGAACTGAATTTAAACTCGAGACAGGTTGATTGATCCGAGCTCAATTGAGCTAAATTTTCTCAAGCTTGGCACTTGGTCGATAATTTGTTTTACAAGTTCTAGCTTAGCTCAATAATTAAAACTTAATTTCACGTGAAATGCAAAGTCCGATGGCTGATTGACGACTACTAGCGATTCCAACTTCGTGCAGGCGAGTTGTTGCAGGCAATTCTTCTAAAAAATCTGTCAAAACTACTGTTCAACTACTTGATTGGATTCCTCCCTACTGGAAAAATTTCGACGCTAATCAAATCAAATATCCTTCATATTTGAGCTCGACTTGACTAAATGCTCGAGCTTTTAGAGCTCGTCTCCAATTCGTAAAGAATGAAACCCGACTTTGAGTAAAATACTGAGGTGTTTATGGCCGAGCAGACCGCTTAGAATTAACACAAGAGAATCAAAAAGTTTTATTATTTACTCAAAAATTAATAGTGAGGTATTTATGGCCCATAAACCCGGCTTTAAGTAGATATTGAGGTATTTTCGGTTTACAAGTCATTTTTGGTGAACCAAATAGGTGAAACTTTGGAAAACTAATTTCCGAAAATTCTTTCACTCAAACAAATGCATAATGAAAATCAATTCCCAGTTCAATTCCAAAATCAAAGCCTTTCTAGTGTTCCCGAGGTGAATCGTTCCTTTGGAACCAAAATCGGTAGAAGCTGGCCCTCGAGTTTAGGGACAAAAGTTTGAAGCCTAGGGATCATATCACAAAATGGAATGAAGTTCATGGAGCACACTGAATAAATTAAAAATTCAGTGATCACATTACATATTGGGTCAAAGTTCATGAACCATTTGTGTGATTTTTCCTTTTCTTTTATCAAGAGTTGAACCGGTTCTCCAGAACCGGCCCAACGGTTCGAAGCTGAACCGGTCACCGGTTCGAAGCCTGTAGCAAGCGATCTTCTTGTTCGTCGAGACTAGGGCACCCAACAGAGAGGCCTTTTCCCATGCCTGAACCTTGAAGTTAGGGCTCCATGGAGAACCATCACGCCTTCTGGGACCACTTGCCCTTGCTGGTGAGGGCGAACTCCAAGGATTCGATCGAGCACATCCTCCAAGCCCTCTGGCGAACTCGCGCCACCGGTCTCGACGCCGCCGATCGCGGCATCATCCGCGACATGCTTCACCTCCAAAACGACTCCGAACTCGACCCCGTACTGCCCTCTCTCTCTCTCTCTCTAACCTTCTCTTGTAGACGGTCGACAGAGCATTTTTCATGAATCCAATGTTGCCGGGGATGCAATTCGTGGAATTTGATCGAGACGAGAGTGTTTCCATGTCGTGTTTGGGTGGTTATATCGAGCGTAGTTATGTCATTGCCCGTCGCTTGCCATAGGATAGATCGTTCGTTCATGGGAAGCTAGCTACCCGTGTGTCGGGGACTGATGTGTGCCGATTTTCTGGTTGTCAGCTTCTGGTGTGTCTGCGCATGTTGATCCGGAAGTGTGTGTACGAGAATACCAGCAAGGAGGATATCCATAAGCTTTTCCCTGGCGAGGTTTTGCCCGAGCTGCAGAGGCTGCTGACGCTTCTGCTGCGGAAGTTTCAAAGGGAGTGGCGGGAAGACGTGCTCAAGGATCAGGTGAGGAATTCGAACTTGCAGGAACGCACTGATCGGAACTGCCGTTCTTTGACCACGCATTGCCCAATTGATTTGTTTATCCAGGCGACGTTGCCTCGGTTGAAAGCGATGACATGGAATATGTCCGCATCCAGTATAGAGACTCCGGAGCCAGTTGCTGTTATTAATTTGCGGGTATTCACGAAATTTCGCGATATTTCAGGAAGCATGCTTGTCTTGCCATTGAACTTATGCATTTGACAATATCTGCCTGACTGTCTTTGAAAATATCTGTGCATTGATCGCATCTGCTTCATTGCTTTCATCATCAGCTTCAAAATGACGTAAAGTTTCGCTACGATGATTCAGAAGTGAAGTTCCAGCTGGATAGAGATACTTTAGATAGCATGCTGAGGTCTATGCGTTCTATAGCAGAGCAATTGACTGAAATGGTGAGTGGCAAAGTTCTTCGCCACAGCTCTGATTTTTGTTTTGACCAGTGTTTTGTGGTTAATTAACGTCTCTTTATACTTCACCAGGACGATCCATCAAATGGGCAAATACCCCCGGAAAATCCTGTGTAGTTCAGCAAATGCCTCCCCGAGGAAGGTATGAGTGTGTTTGTTTGTAGGTTGCTTACAATTTCTGTCTCTTTAGCTGGGACTTTTGACGTAGAATCGTAGGGTTCTGAGGAGCATCTTCTATGGTGGTTAGCTTTTTCAAGAATCGCTGTCCCTCCATCCCATTGATGCATTACTTTGCATGAACAGTTTGGATATGACGTCTGCTTTAGAGAAGAACTCCATGTTCGCCTGTAGGCATTCTATAGAAAGGATTTCAGGGACCCCTGAGTGGAGGATTGCTCATCTTTTAGTCATAGAGACTTAGAGAGGCAATCCAATGGTGACATTTATTTTTTGCAAATCTCTACCTACACACCACTCCCCATATTCTTTACTTACACGAATTCTATTTTATGTCTGAACACCTTATGTTGAAGTGCCTTAAGAGCTAGGATGACAACGGTGTCTCAATTCCATCAGAGGGTCCTGTTGCAGAGGTCCTTCTTTTGGCCCTTCATGATTCTGCTTCTTCCCTCTTTTGACGCTAATATATTTGCTATTGTAAAACCAATGTTAATATGCATTTCTGAGTTACCCTGAGGCCTTGACACACCATTTAACAAACGGAACCTCAGATGAAGCACCTTGTCGTAAGTTACTTTCTGATGATCCGAGAGACATCTCCCTGATGATTATAAGTAAAATATCTTTTCCAGCGCACTCTGGAAGGATCTTAACATGTAAAGAAAAATGAACTTTGAGGTTAACATTAAACTTCCTTTTCCAGCTCATTCTGGAAGGGATCTTAACATGCAAGGAATAGCAGAACATGATATTTGGCTTGTTCATTTTGATGTTTCAGCAACATCTCTGTCTCTCTTACATTGACAATCTTTGAACTTTCGCAGCTGTTCCGATGGAGAGGGATACCAAAGAATGTAAACAGTTGTTAGGGGATACTTTTAAAGCTTTAATTGGATCGGTTATCTGCTGGACCCCACGACAGGAGAATGTGCTGCAATTTTTTTATGGTGATCGTCAAAAATGTCAAAGATCTGGACTGCAGAAGAGAGCGATTGCATCCCACTTCTTTGTGCGATTTTGCCGCTGCTTAGTGCTTGCTGGACCAAACCGCAGGATTTGGTGCTGGATTCTTGGATGATGAGCATTAGAAATGCAAAGAGTGGGAATTAGGATGGTCATTGCGTATTGTGGGCAGCTATGCTGCATCCCTTGTCGATGAAACTAAACTATCATTTCTCCTAAGAGTCAAAATTCTTGATGCAAGTTGGCCTGTGACAGTGCTTTATTCATGGATCATCCAAGTGGTTTTTGAATAAGCATTTAGACTTTGGTGGGTATTGCTTCATCCTCACTCTCTTGTGGTGGGTTCTGATGCTTTCTTGGGTGGTTTAGACAACGAACAACTCTTTTGGGTGGTTTCCTAATCTTAAATCGAAGACAAATCTCTTTTGTCGTCTGCTAATTGTCCGTGAGAAGAGAGAATGCAGTTTCAGTCAGGGAACTATCAGTTACAATCAATGAAATGCTAGCCCTGCGATGGTATCTCTTCGGACACCTGATGCGATATCATCTTTTTGAAATTGCTCTTTTCGGTGTCCCATAACCTGGCAAGTGTTGTGATGATCGATCAGTATCGTAGGCAGAAGCATGCGCCATGCTTCAAGTTTATCAAATCCGAGTTAAGGAGTTAAATAACTGTGGATCGTGGCTATTGGTGATGAAAGAAATACCTTCTCGACAACTTAAATCTCATGAAGAAAGACTATGCTCTCTCAATCTCGAAAGAGAGCATTTTAGGTTGCTTGATGCTAGATGAAGAGTACATAATATTCTAGACTGACGATTGTCTTGTTGTCTCCTGTTCCTTTGGGTCAGTTAAGCTTGGAAATCTGCATTGTTATGAACCGCGAATCAGGATTGCGGTTTCAACGGTTTAAGACTGTTAGATATGCCCCTGTTGCTATTTGTTTATGCAAAGCAGCTTCAGATTCGTACAGCAGAAATTGATACCTTCTTTATGTTTTTAACTTTGAGATAAGCCCCTGTTGCTACCAAAGAGTCAAATGTGTGGTGGTTCTGCGTTTTGCCTTGCTTTGAGAGGACTGAATGTTGTTGGTCAATTCGGCAGTTTTCAGTTTTCTATCGCTTTCTAGGTCACCAAACAACCTCCCGGGCTTCGAATTCTTGCAGTGAATAATCGAGTCCTCGAGATTCTCGATCTATTTACCTTCTTTTACGGGAGGAAAGACGGGAACGAGTCAATCGAACGGAACGGAAACGACGCGTCTCGCGTTCCCTCCGTTACATCAATAAACCATGTTCTCTCCCCACCCCTAGAGACTAAACGGAAACATCGAAATCTAGAGTCCACACAAAGTTAGGTGGGATTGATGACCCGAAATTCGATTTCGATTTGTCAACTTACAAGGACATGGAGACGGAGATAGATAGCGATCGCTCGAGGTGGGTCGAGGATTCTTTTTTATCGAACTGGACTTTTCTCGTCCGCGACTTTCGCTAGACATTCGTAGGAAGACGTTAGTCGAAAGCCTGTACGCGTCCGGACCCTGGGCAATTCTTTCGGGCGAGAACGTATATGGGTCGGGCGGGGGGAGGAACGGGTCATGGGTCAAATACGAAATTCGAAGATGCGTGTGGGTCGACGAGAAATCATGTCGCGAATTGGCACGCTAGTTCGCATTGAGAGACGACACAAAAAGAAGAAGAATGAGAAAAAAGGAATGAGGAATGAGTCCGAGTCCGAGTTGGGAAATGGGAAAACAACAACGGGTCAAACGTAGGGAGATATTAGCATTTCGCAATCAAAGTTGAGGACCTCCCCCCAAACCTACGTAGCACCGACACCGACACCGACACCGATACTAACACGCAACACGATATGACACGCCGACACGTCATTTTTCAAAAAATAGAGAATTCTGGCACGTTGAGACACGTTATATATTAAATATATATTTTTATATATACATGATAAATTATCATTTTTATGATTATTTCAATCAAATTAATTCGATTCGGATCTACACATAAATAAATAATAATAAAAAGAGTGTCGAACGAGTGTCGGTGTCCGACACATCCGACGCGTGTTCGACACGACACGGAGGCCCCCGGAGAGTGTCCGTGCTTCCTACAGCCCCAAACATCGATAATTAATTACGTTACTTTCAAGCCGAGTTCACACCTAGACACTCGCGTGATCGTGCTGCGTGTGTATATATACATTTGTTAAATGAGAAATACAAAATTCATCCCGCGAAAGTTTGTGGCAATTCATCTTGAATCAAACATGAAATAGAGATGAGGGAGGTATGGAAGAAGAAAGTCGGTAAAACAAATGTAACCGGCTTCCTTTGTTTCGCGAAAAATGAATGATTTTGAGATTTTTTTTTTTTAAAAAAGGATAGCTGGTACAACTTGAAATAATCAGTAGGTGAAAAATATTTTCATTGTCGGCAACAATTCATGTCTAAACATTCTCGTTGACGATCAAAATAATTTCTGTTCGTTCGTTTTTGTAAGCGATGCATGCGATCATTTTTAGAAAAATGTTTCCTAAATCATTCATTATGGTCTGATGTACAATGTCGTCCTTAAATTTTTAATTCTTTCGATGCGTTCCACGATATCCTAAGATTCTTCAATGTAGACCCCGAACTTTCCAGGTTGTTCAATCTAGTCCCTCGACTTTCCAATAAAGTCAAAATCAAATCGTTCGAGCCCATCCACAAGTCTCCTTAATTCCACCATCACACATCGGATTAAAATTTAGAGACCATCAGCGTCGATTTTCCTTAAAAATGCCTTAAAATTTAGAGCCCATCCGCAAGTCTCTTTTAATTCCACCGTTACACGTCGGATTAAAATTTAGAGACCATTACACATCGGATTTGGAACACTCGGAGCGCTCTCTCCGCATCCCACGGTGGGAACGAGATGGGGAAAGTGGCCCATAATCATCGCCGCGATTGTCGGTCTTTCTTCCTCTTTCCCTCGGCTCATTTGATTTTTGTTGGGGGGTGGTCGCGGCATGTTTTCCGTAAGTTCCTTTTTCTGTTTCGTTTGCGTTCCAAGAAGAAACTTACAGAAAACAAAACATCTTGCGACGAAAAAAAAATCCTGACGGTGTCGTGCCCGCCTTTTAATGTCGACCCATTTTCATCTCTAGGCTCTTGGACAACTTTTTGTTTTTCGCTTTGGTGTTTGTAAGCTTAGTTAATAAATTTATTCCGAAATTTATTCAATTTTTCGACCATCAAAAACTCCAAAGTGGTACACCCGTGACAAATTTACCCATCGTTAAATTAGATTAATACCACGAAAAATCATAAATTGATAAACCTATGTTAAAATCCCAAACCGGTACACCGGTGTACACCCGTCAATTACCGCGTGTCATCCAACTCAGCAATTTGACGGTAAAAATACGAGTGTACCGGTTTGGGGTTCTTCGTAATATTAATCCTGACTTCTTCTCTTATCGTGAGAGATGCGCTAGGGGCAATTTGGACATTTCACAGGCCCTTATCCTATGTACACACATATATATATATTTCGAATGGTGGCAAGTTCCATTGTGGTTATAATTAGTAAAAAAGGGGGAAACTTCGATTAGGCTTCTCTTAAGGTATGTTTGTTTCATGGAAAATGTAACGCTTTTGAAAAATGTTTTCCGGAAAATCATTTTCCAGGAAAATAGTTAGTTTTCCTTGGTTTTGTGAGATGTGATCGAAAATATTTTCTAGTTTTGGATCTCATTTGGAAAATATTTTGAAAATGATTTCAATCTCATGATTTTATCTCAAGCTAAAAAAAAAATTCGAATTTTTCGATATTTTTATTTTTAAAAAGAAAAAAAAAAGAAAGAAAAGAATAAAATATTAAAAAAGTAAAGGGAAGCAATTTCGGAAAGTGTTTTCACCTTCTTAGATTAGGAAATTCACTTTCCTAATTTTATACATGAATGTTTTCCCTAACCGGAAAGTGTTTTCGGTTGACCAATCATTTTCCGTGAAGTCCGGAAAACGGATTATCGGAAAATGCTTTCCCTGAACCCTTAGTTCTGTTTTTTTGGGTCACATGCTATGTAAAAAATAGCTTAGACAACATGTCAGCGTCGTCTAGCTTTTTAGCCATTATCGAAGCCTGCATAGTGGGGAAAGGTTAAAAATTTTGCTAATGTTGGGATCTAATTCGAGCATGCGATGGTGACGTGCCGCGGCCATTGTAGGATCTTATCTCCGTTTCGTGTTTGATTTAAGACGAACGGTCGCAAACTTTTACAGGGATGAATTTCGTATTTCTCGTTTAACAATGCGTATATATATATATATATATATAGACACACATAACATGATCACGCGAGCGCCCTAGGTGTGAACTCGGCATGAAAATAACGTAATTAACAATGTTCCGGGGGGAGCGCACATGGAGGGCCTCCTCCTTTGATTGCAAAATACTGATAGTTCATTCATTTCTGTTAGCGATACGAGCAATCGTTTTTAGGGAAATATTCTTAGGCACCGTCCGTTTCTCGAAAGATGAATAATATAGGAAAACATTTTCCTAAAAAAATAGTTTGTACGCTTTTAAAAATGAATGGACGAAAAATATTTTCAAGAGATACCATCGATTATATTTTAGGAAAATGTTTTTCAAATCATTCGTCTTCCGCGAAAACAGACGGAGCCTTAGCGACTTTTCTGTCCACTAATTCCTTTTTGTACATTATCTTAAGATCATTCCACGTGAAAGTTAATCAGTGCCGAATATCCTTTTATGCCATTGGAGGAAAATATAATTTGCTAATTTGGTTACTAGAAAATAAAAAAGGAAAAGACAGAGTGTTACTAACTTCACACTTGAAATCATTTCTCACGTGATACGCTTGATTAAAAATACCTATCGATCTTTTAAATGCGAGACAATTCGAGATGGATCAATATTCACACTCCCGACGTAAAAATTGTCGGAACTGCCGCGACTTGTAACGCGGCGCGAGAAAATCATATCGAGACGAAGAGAGCGGAGTCTTATCGAATGTCGAATATAATTTTATCCATTTGGAGAATTTTACCTAGCATGCTCAATTAATTAATATACTAATTTAAGGGCCGAGAATAATTTTGCAAGGGGGATAATGTCATAAACAGTTCATAAATTCTGATCCAACGTGCAATGTGTCAACGTAGTCCATAAACTTTTAATTTGTTCAATGTACTCCCCGAACTTTAGTTTAATATTCAATATGGTCCCTAAACTTTTGCTTTGCTCAATGTGATCCCTGGACTTTTGATATATATTCGATGCAGTCTTTCTATTAATTCAAGTTCAGGGACGGCATTGAACACGTTCATACAGTTCAGGGACTAAATTGAACACGTGCAAAAAATCTAGAGACTAAATTGAATAAAGTAAAAATTTAGGGATCGCAATCAATATTAAGCTAAAGTTCATGGGCTAAATTATATATCGGATCAAAGTCGAGGGACCCGCTGGTGTCATTTTCCCTTCTGCAGGTCAAATAAATATCCCGTGCACGGACACAGGAAACCAAGACCACTTACCATACACGTTCCTCCTCCGATTCGTGTCTGGGATATTTCTGCTGTCCACGGTTTTCGGGCCGGCCGGCCGACCCAGTTTCGTAATTTCAGGCCACTCCGCCACTCGCACGGCCCCCGCCCCCCTCTCTCTCTCTCTCTCTCTCTCTCTACGTTCACTTTAACACTATCACCAACGTCATCGCCATAGAAATTTCAACACCCCTTCTCTCTCTCTCTCTCTCTCTCTCTCTCTCTCTAGCTCTCGCAGAACAGCTTGATCGACCTCGGAGATCGCCGGAGTTGTGCTGAAACCGAAACCATGGCCGCGACCACCACGACCACGTCCGGTATCGGCGGAGGCGGCGGAGGGGGGGGCGGCGGCGGCGGCGGAGGCGGAGGCGGGGGTGGGGGTGGGGGGGGGGGGTGGAGGGGGAGGCGGGGCGGAGGACCGCGTGATGGCGACCGCGCAGCAGATTCTGAAGAGCCTCAACACTCCCAAGGAAGTCCGGGAGGACATGCTCCTCATCTTCTCCAGCTTCGACAATCGCCTCTCCAAGATCACCGACTTGATCCACACTTCGTCGGCCCTGGAGGACCGGTTCGACTCGGCGGAGAAGGTGATCCTCCGCTACGACTCCAATTCCAACTCTCTCGCCTGGGAGGACTCGCCGGAGGAGGCCGGCGAGTACTTGTCCGCGCTCGACGAGATTCTGCAGCTGTGCGAGAACTTGACCGTCGAAGACGATAAGGACTTTGTTGACCGTGCCGATACCGCGATCCAGATCGCCATGTCGCGATTGGAGGACGAGTTCCGACACATACTGATCCGCAACACGGTGCCTCTGGATGCTGATCGGCTCTACGGATCCATCCGTAGGGTTTCCCTCTCCTTCGTCTCGAACGACGGTGTGATTGGTGATGAATTCGAGAGTTTCGGTGAGGTCGATAATGACAGCAGCGGTTGTTTTCACGAGCGAGGCGCGAGCATAGGTGATGATTTGTTTGTGGACTTGATTAATCCGGATGCTGTGGTGGAATTGAGGGAGATCGCTGATAGGATGATTAGGTCCGGGTATGAGAAGGAGTGTTGCCAGGCTTATACTAGCGTGAGACGAGAGGCGTTGGATGAGTGTTTGGTGATCTTAGGAGTTGAGAAGTTAAGTATCGAGGACGTGCAGAAGGTTGAGTGGAAGGATTTGGATGAGAAGATGAAGAAGTGGATACAGGCTGTGAAGATTGCGGTAAGAGTCTTGTTAACTGGCGAAAAGAGGCTTTGTGATCAGATTTTTAATGGCTCTGATTCCATTAAGGAGATTTGCTTTAACGAGACTGCAAAGTGGTCTATGATGCAATTGTTGAATTTTGGAGAGGCCGTTTCGATTGGCAACAGGTCATCAGAGAAGCTCTTTAGGATTCTCGATATGTATGATGCTCTTGCAGATGCCTTGCCGAATTTGCAGGCAATGGTTACTGATGAGTTTGTGTGTTCTGAGGCCAAAGGTGTATTATCTGGATTGGGAGAGGCTGCAAGAGCCACTTTTTCGGAGTTTGAGAAAGCAGTGCGGGGTGAAACCTCGAGGAAACCGATGCAAAATGGGGAGATTCACCCCATAACTCGATATGTGATGAATTATCTTAAGTTACTCGTGGTTTACATTGAAACTCTGGATTCTCTTTTGGAGAGCGATGAGGATGAGCTTCATGGTTCAGAAAGAGTTGACGGGGACAAGCTGCAAACTGAGAGGGTGTCTCCGGTTACTCGGCATTTCCAGTCGCTGATTTCCACTCTAGAGTCGAACCTTGAGGAGAAATCAAGACTTTACGAGGATGCTGCCATTCAGTACATATTCCTGATGAATAATATCTGGTACGTAGTGCAGAAAGTGAAGGATTCTGAGCTCGGGAAACTTTTGGGTGACCATTGGGTTCGGAAGCGCCGTGGGCTGACCCGCCAATATGCCACAATTTATCTAAGGGCCTCTTGGAGCAAGTCGCTATCTTTCTTGAAGGATGAGGGCATTGGCGGCAGCTCAAATAACGCTTCTAAGGTGGCATTGAAGGATAGGTTTAAGAACTTCAATGCATGCTTCGAGGAAATTTACAGGATTCAGACGGCTTGGAAGGTCCCAGATCCTCAGCTCCGAGAAGAGCTCCGCATATCTATATCTGAGAAGGTGATCCCAGCCTATCGTTCCTTTGTGGGACGGTTTGGGAGTCAGCTCGAGAGCGGGAGGAATGCTGGGAAGTATATCAAGTATACGCCAGAAGATTTGGAGAATTACTTGCTGGACTTGTTTGAAGGATCGCCAGGAGTGCTGCATCATTTGAGAAGAAAAAGTTCGTCGTAGGAGTATACAATACTTGTGTAACAGGTGAGGATGCTGCTCTTATAAAGAAGATTAAAGCGGAAATGTACCCGTCTGTGGTAGCATGATGCATTGGATGTTTAATTTTGGTTTTTAACATTATAAACAACAGCTTTTGGTTGAGATGTTTCCCTTTTACTTGATGTACATGTATAATAGAACATAGCTCGACACCTTTTGTGTACATTATTATATGAATTCGTACTGAGCATTCAACTAGTCAAGATATCATGGACTTCTTGCTAGATGACAGTTTAGCCCCTTTGCTTTTTCTGATGCTGCGGTTCTGCTGGCTCCTCCTTCCCTGTTTCTCATCATTTTAAGTTTGCAAGAGTTAAGGTCTTGATGATTTCATGCTATATCTTGTTTATGGTATATTCAATTGAAAGTTAAGTTCATTTTGTGCGAGATGGTTTACTAAGTACCTCTATGTGGAAGCTCCATTTCCCTTGGCTGGCTTTGCCATAGAATCCTGTGTCATGTACTATGATCAATTCTCATCATCTTTATGATCTCTGCTAGTAAATGGGATTTTCTCTCCTCCTCATCTTTCATCTGCATTTGTGACCCCATATTATAGTTAAGAGCCAAAATGTGTCGTTGGAGTACTCTAGGAGTCAATCTTGCATTTCTGTTTGAGGGGCGGGGGAGGTGTTGTTGAAATTATAACGTCATTGGAATAAAGTTTTGTGCGAAGGTGTTAAAAGTGGACCCTACTTGGGGGCTGAAGGATGATCGAGGATATTTTGATCTTAGAATTTAATGGACAATGTTAATAACGAAGATCATTCAGCTGTGTGCTTATTCTGATAGGAGCATTTACATCTGTAGAACCTGCAATCCTTATGACAAACTCATCGAGATCACTCGAGATTCTATTACTCTGCATTAGCATGGACATGATGTGTGTTAATTCATCTATAGACGGGACAAAATTTGGTAGTTGGAGCTTTGAAAGTTCCTTTAACTAATAGGAGTAAAAGACTGAGGTTGATTCAGTAAGGAATAGATCGGCTTGGAGCTGAAAGTACTGCTGGACCCATTGGGTATGTCAAGGCCATCATGTTCAGATTTTGAGATGATGAATGATAATAAAAGCATGACACTGCTAGCTAAAGTCAAGACTTTCTCAAATAGGTTATGGAGTTGCTTTTGCCCTGTGAGTGATATCATATTGTTGTCATGGTCCTTAGTAATGGTGCATGATGATTATATATGCTTTTCCATCCTTGTTGAAATAGAGGAGGGCACTTATATCTTGTTGGATCATTAATTTTTCTCTTCATATGTCTTATACCGACTGACCTTTGGTCTGTTTGGAGATCAATCTTTGTCTCTGTAAATTGAACTAATCATTTGGTTTTCATATCATAATATCTAATTGTAAAGAGGAAGCATAGAGCTTGCTGACTTGTTTCAGTGGTCAGTGCTCATGCATCTACTCCTGAAGACCACTAATTTTGGAAAGGAGGATGCATGTCCTTTTTCTTGTACCTATTTCCTCATCTCAAACCTAGAAAAGAAGTGTTTTTCCATTAGTCTTTGCCAGGTAAAATGATTTTGGATGTATGTAAATTGTAAATACTAAATGCCTTAGTAATATTCAAATTTTTTTTTTAATTTCCAAATTGAGGATCTGATTTACATTAAGTGGAAATTCTGTTATGACGTATGATTTGTATGATGTCGTCAGAATTATGTAGTGTTCATAGTATATTCAATAAATTCTAGATTGAATTTTTACCATATTTCACGTGCCTCGTCAACCTTCATGCTCTGTTAGATGCAAAGGACAATAAAGCAAGGCTGATGAGTGAACAGGTTTCTTTTGGTGCCTGTTTGGTGTCTTGATGAATATGAAATCGGCAGTACCATATTGTCTAATGCTGCCGGGGTACTTGGAATGTCATATTTAAGAGGAGTCCTTGCACATTTTTTCATGCAAGTATTATGTATCTTTACTTGAGGCATAGTCACTGATAACGCTGCTGTTATGAAATCGGCAGTACCATATTAGTATCTATTAGGTACTTGAAGTATTATGTTGTAATGTCGAAACTCTCTGATTGTGCGTGTTGCTAGTTTTACTCAACCTTTGGAGATCTATGGAGTCTTAAACGGGAAGGAATTTATCAACCTTACGAAATGTACTTTTTGTTTGTTTGAGAATTATCAGAATTGAACTGATTAAGCAATAGTGGGGAGTTTCTTTAGCTTAAACTCCTGCTGATTGCGATGGCGGTGGCATTACCTCAAGAGTCCCAGACTCCCAGACAACCGATACTGTTTGGTTTTCCTTGTATGAGAACATTCATCCTAGCTAAAGATCTTTTCTATTTTTGGTAACATAAACATCATATTCCTTCACTTGAGGATCGTTTTTCTTCTCTTCATTACTGGTTGGTGAAGAAATTCCGTAAAATTCAACCTTTTGTTGTGCTGATCATTTATTTAAAACGAAAATCCATTGATGTTCGATTAAAGTTGCCATTTGATTCTGTTTATGTTTTGGTGGTTCCTTACTGGACATGGTGATTGTCCATTAAAGATACAACTCTTCCGCAATTTCCTGCCTCTCGATTATCGTCACAGGCGCCTGAATTGTTGCTTTTTGTTGGGGAAGGTAAACAATATGCTTGGTTGAAATCTCTCAGTGGTATCTTGTTCTCAGTTAAAATGAAGGGAAAGCCAGTGGATTTGGTCATTTGGCTTCGATGTTTGGTGAATTTCTATTTGTGTCAGGTTTTAATTTGCTTATTAGTTTCTGTTGGATTTACTTGATGTGTTTTGGATGTTAGTAAAAGGTTCATGTCGCGTCGTGCAGGTAGTTTTTTAATTTTTTTATTCTGGGCAATGGAAATCCAATAAATGTAGATTATCCTTGGTCCTATTAGCTTGTGAGCGAATTGACCTCCCTCTCCCTCTCCCTCTCCCTCTCCCTCTCCGCGCGCTAGCAGCCACCGGCCAGCACAGGTCTAAGTACCGTGGACGTTTTGGAATGGATTCTCCATAGATTGATATCTTTCTTGGTGCAATCAAATCACAAAGATCTAAGCAATCAGAGCACAGGATCCGCTTGACCACCGATCTGAATCTCACGGTAGTAGAGTAGTTAATTTTAACCTGTGCTCGGCATGCGTACTCTAGGCGAGGTCCCCACCCCTAGGCGATTCCCTGCATATGTTACGGTGATGGCGCAGATTATTTGGTTGATCACATCCAAAGAGAATCCCCAACTTGATCGAACAGATATTGGCCTCGAGGATCAATGAATATATGAGATACATAACGCATTGGAGGAATAACGCTAGACCAATCGATGTGCTATATAACGCTGCAGAAGCTGGTGCTCTAGTCCTTGGCCATAAACTCGAGCAACCCGACATACTTTTACGGTCAAGTTTGGTGGAAAGGATCCAAGAGATACGTCCCTTTGATCGATACGACCAGGAGATAGTTTGCAAGGCGTGCCATTAAGGGCAATGAGACATGTACATATCCGCTGGCTCCCGCAATCTCAAAAACTATATCTACTTAATTCACCAAAGCCGAACGGTAAGGGAAATGAACCAGCATGTCCTAGGAAGAGATGGAAAAGCTATTTATTTGACAATATAAGCAAGTTTGCCCACAGTTCTCACGCCCGGCAAACTACGAACAGAGTCACATTTTCTTGAGGAGGAAAACTGATTATGCCTGCCTATTTACAAACACAATTATTCATTAGCCAAAAAACCACCGCATACGACATAGTGAAGTGGCATCCAACAGAAACGGAAAAGATGTCAGTCGACTAGGAGACGGTCACTAAGGTTGATGAGAAAGCCTCATCAGACCCTGCTGTTCTGAGGAAGAGGTAGAACTCCGTCGAAGAAGTCACCAAAATAGCCACGCGGCTCGTGGACTAGTTTCGAAATGATATCTCTCAGAGTGATAACACCTTGTAGGTTCTCGCCATCGTCTACAACGTATATCCTCTGAATTTTGTGGGAGTCGAGCATCAAAATTAGCTCCTTGATAGTCTGATTGCTTTTGCATGTTATCATGCTGCCCAACATTGGGGAGGCCTCTTGATGCTTCTCCAAATAGTTTCTAGCAGCGGTCAGGAAGTCTTTTGCTGTAACTGATCTGAATAAATTGTAAGAAACAGAAGATAAGCCAATGCATTGTAATAAACGAGGCAGACTTAACGGATAAACAAAAGGGTTTGTATATAAAACGAGAAGGCTATGCCATTAGGAAGCTGGAAGCATGTTAAGATGAATGAAACTGTTACCAACCTGTAGTCATGGTAGATCTTTGGTGAAGTCAGAAGGAATTGGATATCTCGTATGCTTATGTTGCCCACTGCCTTTTTACCACTGTTGTCAACGACAGGTATCCCTCCAACTCTTCTTTTCCTCATTAGCTTAAATGCCTGCATCACTGGTTCATGCTCATACACCTGGAGCAGTGAGAGAGGAATCAGTATATATCAGATGAAAGACTGTGTTTAGCTATTGCCATTTTGCTTTGAAACCTTGGACTAGAAACTGATGGAAAAAGCCATATTACTGGGCCTGGGGTACCGAATCTTCAACAAAATTCCAAATTATTCTCTGTCATGTTTGCTTATTCTAGTGTCCAACATGTTCCAAGAAGATATTGATTGTATGCTGGGAAATGCACACAAGACTCACATACCCAGAGATCACCCAGACAGACATAATGATCACAAACAACCCGTGGCGAAGTGCTCTTCTGCAAAGCTTAAAAGGATGGAATGTGCATGAAAAGACCCCGTAGTAACATGATCTAGTATCATTTCACCATTGAGGACGCTTTCTCTCACAAAAAAGTGTATTCAAACATTTAAAAAGTTCTCAAATTTTGAAAAGAGCACTTTGTCCATCAGATCGTTCTTATGGTTACTTTCATCTTTCTGGAATGACTAAGACATTCAATGGGAACGAGATGTGAGGATAATATTTAAGGGGAGAAAGCTTCTATAATTGGCCGCACCTTGACTAATTGATCAGGAGTCACGAGGGGGAGCCCAAGTTCAGATAGCCTTTTAGTTCCCCAGCTTTCGAACCAATGAAGGCCAGTGCATTCAGCTAACATGTGAATGACTGCAGACTGAGTAATGACATTATCAATCTTTCCCTCACCCAAGTCAACCACCGGAATACTCTTCATTTTGTACTTTGATAGCAACAAGAGCATAGTCAAAAAGGAATCCGACTTCTGCAGAGCAAGAAAAGGG